CACTTTATTTGGGAAGGTTCATATGTACTCACGCGCGGAAAGGTTTGGCCCAGGCAAAAGTAGAAAGGTGTTTGGTCTAGTTTAAAAAATATTTAAAATAGATTTTATGATATGAAAACTCGTTTAGTATTATTTTAATTTATAATATAAAAATAAGTTTTTAAATAATTTATAATATAAAAATAAAATTTTAAAATTATAATGTATTATTTTGAAACTTGAAAATTTGACCTTCTTGACTAAAATTCCTAGTTTTCGCCCTTGATAATAGCTCCACCCCTGATAATATATCACTTTCTTTATGATTCATCTCAAAATATTTAATTTAAAATTTTGGTATTTTAATTGAATTTTAATTACCATACAATTTGATACAAAGTACCTCTGAGCATTTCCTTCACTAACCCTATTTTTTATATTAATATCAATATATAGCACTAAAATATTAAAAAAATACAAAAAAAGTCAACTTTTTTTAATTAACCGATTGTACCAGTCAATTGAATCAGACCCTATTACGAAAGCAGGTCGGTCACCAAATCAGGCTCTAGAACATCGTGTTTACGCATAGGCAGTGCAAACTTCAAATTTAGAACTTTGTTCATAAGTAGGCTCGGACCAACTAAAAAGATGCATAAATAAGTGCTCAGCAATTATTCGAAGTAAATATAAAAAATCATGACGTGTAGATAACTAAAATATAAAGAATAATATTGAACGGCCCACTCTGACACTCTGTTTATTGTGTGTTTGAAATTTATTATTTTTTTAAATTAATATGTAAATAATTGTAATTTATTAAAAAATATATAAAAAATAATATTAAAAAATTTAAATAATTTAAATAAATTAATATATATAAAAAATTTATGAAAAAAATTTAAATAACTTTACAAACAATTTTGATATTTAAAATATTAAGACTTTTTGATATTTTCTGTTGTTATATTTCAAACTATTTGTAGATAGTAATGCACTTACCTTCCTCCAATATTTGTCATATAGTGGTCATCATTGGCATTCTGCGACCTTATGGCATTTTAATTGTTATTCCTACGACTTCTCAATGCATTTCAATTTCTGTTCTATAGTCGAGGCATTTTAATTACATCTATGTTGAGTTCTTGTTGTTGTGTGCTTATTTTCCATCAAATTTCATTTACATTTTCATTTGCTTGATGTCGTCTTCAAAATAAAAATATAAAAAAAATAAAAATCAAAGAGAGACATAATAAGGTTCTTATTACCACCTTTCTCACGATGGACTCCTCAGTAATGAGCAGTATTTTCTTACTATATTCTTTTTTTATGTTTCTTTCAAATTATTTTTATTTCTTAACAACAAAGTAAAAAAAGAAAACTATCATAACTCGATTTTGACCAGAATTTTGATAATCTTCTCTGATTTCTCTTGGCTTTGTCTAGTTTCATGATTTCGATTGAAAATTCAACTGGAAAATGAATTTTAAAGTAAGTCAGGAAGTAACAAAGTTATTATTTTAGACTTAATTATATATTGATTTTGATTTCAGATATCTAAATTGAAACTAAAGAAGACACACGGGACCAACTTACAAAAGGATAAAAAATGGGAGGTAGCACTACAAATTTAAAAGAGGAGGAACATGCAAAATTAAGGAGGTCTAAAGTGCTAGATTTTTTACTTCTTCTCCAACTCAGATATATAAATGAAATCAAATCTTTTTATTTGTTCAACAAATCATCAATTAAGTGGTTCAGATTCGTATCTTTTTTACTGCCTGAGTAAATCAAGATCCAGAAATGGAGAGAAAGCCTCATTGTTAATTATTTTAAGAAAGAATATTCTTCTCATGATTTTGTAATCTTTTCTATTATTTAAGATTAGGTCAATACTTGTTCCCTATAACTATCAATTTTTCCATAGCTATCAATTTTAAGCTTCGTTTAGTATGGATGAGGTTATGAGTTTTCAGTTTTGATTTTCAAACTTCAAACAATCAAAATTAACAATTGAAAACTAAAATTAAAAATTTGACAACTTATCATGTATAAAATTTTAAAACTAATACCCAAGATTTAAAACTTAACTCATTTATAGAACTTCTTGATTGTATTCTACAATTTCTAAATTTTTGAAAACCAAAACTAAGAAACTCAATCACTACCATATTAAGCGGAACCTAAAAACTTAAAAATTGTTTATGTCAATACTCACATCTTCCTTCCCAATTAAACTTCTCCTGTTCTCTTTGTTGAGCTCAAGCGTAAGTTCAACTAACTGGACTACATAATGACCTGGTTTTAGATCCATGAAAAAATTATTAATACTAATCTATGTTAAACATGTCTAAGTGAAACAGGTTAAGTAATAATTTGCAGTACCAGCATAACTTTTTCCTGCGAAGAACAGACTTCTATTCCTGTAGTGTGGGAACTAGATGAACCAATTTGCAAGAACACCAGAATGTCCTTGGCTGTAATTACAAGGACAAAGACAAAGCAAATGTTTCAGAAATGAAAGCTGGCATGTAAAGGTGAGTTGACAAAGTCTGTAAAGGTCAACTGCTGTCAGCTCAAGAGGAAAACAACAAAATAAGGACAATATATATTTGATCATGGCATGACAATAAAGTGAAAAACAACAATTCCCCATACTCCCATCATAACTTCACTACACCTCACTCTTCCAAACTTGACTACACTTAACTCTTCTAGTTTAGCAGGCTTCAGCTTTGCATACTCCCTGCAATAGATGGGTCTATATCAGATTAGTTAACATACCTGCTCTGGAAGGCAACGCAAAAGACATTTTGAATATAAAATGTAATTTATGAATGTTAAATGGACCTTATTAAGAATTTAGCTGCCAATGCATATCCATA